CAAAGTATTACAAGTAACCTTGAACAACAATACACTTTTGCTAGTGCTTATACATCATCTCAAAGCATAGCTCTGGAAAGCATCTTACTCTTCTTGGCTCAGAATGGCCGTCACTGCTTGAATGTTTCCACTTTTCACAGAAGTGCTTTTATCACTTGTACACTTCAGTTTTTTTTTACCGCTAACTAAAGCCTTGTTTAACATGTTTAATTTAACAATAACTCCCAGAGTGCTACTACATGCTATGATTTTATTTTTACTTATTCAGTTGTTGTGCTACATTACCCTGAGCATTTCTGGGAGCTTTTTGATACTAGTGGTATTTTTTCTGTCTAATTTTAATGAGAATGGAGCTTTTAAAGTTGGTAATAAAATTAATATTTAATTTTAAAAATATCAGTAAAAAATATTTAAAATACATTTAATGTAAAATATAGTTCCTGTGATCCACATAAACTTGATAATGAACATATACATCGGAATCCATTATTTCAAAAAGAATTTTATAAATATTTTAAATTAACAGAGTTAATTTGATTGCTTGATTATCTGTTAATACACTTCCTATATGAAATCTTTTATTTTACATAAGATCAATTAAGGTCAGTGACTATATTTAATTAATAGGTTTGATACAGTGCATTGTAAAGATTTGGATATTATACATTTGATAGTATTCTTTGTAAATAATACACATTCACTTATAATTTGATTAATTGCAGACTTAATTTGACTGTTGAATAACTTAGAAGAGTTAACTTGTTGAAGAAACAATGATTTTATAACATTCATATTTAATTAAAGTTAGTTTTTAGCTCTTGGGAAATACTGGTATTTACTAATGAGTTAACTACTTTGTTAAATGCAGATCAAAACTAGGTTTTATAAGAAATTACATTTAATATTAATGGAAAGATATTTTAAAATTGCTGTATTTGCCAGCATACAAGACACTTTTTTTCCAAAAAATACTGTCTGAAAATAGAGTATATGCCAGCAAATATACAGTATATAATGTATAATTTTATTTATAAAATGCATAGTTGTTGCAATATTGTTGTTTGTACTTGAATATTCTTTGCTTTTGTATTTAAATACATTGTACACACTAACTGTATGAAAATTACACTATTATTATTTTTCTATAAACTAGATTAGAAATGTACTAAAATTTTATTTTTAAAATAAATGCCTTTGGAAAATGGAATGCATCTTATATGATTACTTCTTTTACAGAAATATGCATAATTTTATTATGCTAAAAATTTAAATTCTGTTGATTTAGAAATGACTTTATTAGTTTCAAAAAGTTGGCTAAAGATAATATGAGAGAAATATATATATAATTAATATAAGAAAAATATATGAATAATTAATATAAGAAAAATATACTGTATGTATACTGTGTATTGAAGAATATATTGATACAATAGGGTATATTAGTGTGATTTTTAATTATTCATATTACTTGACTTTCTAAGCTTTTCCTATAGCCTTTCTAAGCTGTTTTTCTAAAAGAAGTTTAAATTTGTGTTAGCATAAGATATTCTGTTTGCATTTATTAATTTAATAAATAATAAAATATACAATACAGTGTGTCCCAAAAGTCTCCATATAGTGACATAAATCAAGCCCACCAGTGACTGAATAAATAAAACCATTGAACACTGGTAGTTGGTTGTTGGTTCATGCCTGATGAATGGGCTGACACCATGCAGTGTTCTGGGTTTTCTTCATGTGTCTAACACCTAACTGAATCCAGTTTCCACATAGGAAATCCTGCTAGAAGTTACCCCATTGACAGATTACCCATGTGTTTTGTTGCCTTACTCTGCCAGTCCACTGACACAAATCTTAATGCTGACATTTTAATGTTTTGTGAATAAAGTTACATTTTACCTTTTATATATGGAAACTTTTGGGACACCCTGTATAAGATAAAAATATACAGTGGTACCTTGTATAAAATACTTAATCTGTTTCAGGTGCATGTCTGTTAAGTGAAAAGTTCATTATATGAAATGCATTTTTCCATAGAAATACATGTTAAAACATCTAATTTGTTCCGCAGCATAAAATAACCATACTGTACCATAAAAAAAATGAAAATGGAGCAGTCACTAATTATGCCGGGTAGTCAGATGTTGTGAGCAGGAGGTGGAGGAACACGTTCTTCACACTTTCATACAGACACACACTTTTTACACATTGCAACAGGTCTCTTTTTATTGTTTTTTAATCGGAGTCAGATTCAGGAGAGGCTACCGGGGTTTGTATGGTCAACTCCTGTTGTTCCATCCTTTGTCTTTTGGCAGCTGTCTTCTTGAAAAGCATGTCCAAGGTGGTCTGTTTTTTCTCTTTTTCGAAAATGATGGGTAAGGGTGTCATTGTAGAGATCATTGATCCTGTTGGCCCCAGCTGTATTTGGATAGTGTGTGTTGGTAAACTCCTGAACCTCTCCACATTTGACAAGGAAGTCCTTGTCAACTTTCGCTTCTTCTGATGATTTCTTGCTTTGTTTAAATTGAAATCACCCTTCTGTTTTTTCAGGGCTGTGGAGTCACGTAAAAATCTACTGACTCCGACTTTTCCTTACCATCTGACTCCGATCAGGGGCGGACTTGTTACTGAAAGGGACCCCGAAATTCTGATGTCATCATGTTACCTCAGAATAAAATATTCAATAAATAGAGTTCTAATAAAGATAGAACATAGAAACTTTTTATTCCAAAGCTATAAGCTAAGTAATATATAAACATGTATTTGATAATTTTTACTTTTCAGGCTGTTATATAGGCCTATAACAGGGAAAGTGTGGCACTCGGTCAAAAAATGACCCCTCCCAAATTTTTACATTTTTGGACTTGGGACACCTTGAAATTTCGAGATATACAAAAGATTCGAGGTTTTTTCTATATGTGTGGATGTTAGCTTGTATGTGCGGGATATGATTTCGTTCACCCTGTTTGAAGCCTAATAATTTCTGTGGTCAGTGGTCAGAATCGGAGTCAGATGGTTTAATACAACAGTTAGTTATTAAGCGTCAAAGTGATTGAACTAAATCATGAACTAAAACATTCTAACATCTTAGGCGAGAACATCTTAACGGGTTTTACTGTACTATTATAAAATGAAAAAAAAAAGCTTACTTTGAGGATAGAGACAAATTTTATTTTATTATTATTATTATATTTATATTGAACACTAATAACGAATAAAATATTCATTAAGAGATATGACACATGACCACTTTTATGTCTTCACCCTGTTGACCTTTAATTAAGAACCAAAATGTAATAGTATTAATGCCCCTTTATACGCAAGCTACAGTGCCACATTTCATTTCTTAAACTTTACCCATTCTGAGATATTGTTTAATATCTCAGAACAGAAAATAAAGAAATTAAACAAATTAGACGCCAACACACATGCGTGTGCGAATTTTTCCCCTTTTATTGACTTTTTTGCGGGGTTCAGGTCTCCAGACGTGTAGCTTTGCAAAAAAAACTTGGAGGGTCAAATTTGACACGATTCCAATACTTTTCCGTTTTATATACATTACAAGTTGGGAAGTAAAAAGGAGTCGGAGTTGACGGATTTTTTGACGACTCCGACTGGCTAAAACACCAAAACTCCACGACTCCGACTCTGACTCCACAGCCCTGGCTTTTTAGAAGCCATGATTTGCACAACATTTGAATAAATGTAAATACCCTGCACTGAGGTGATGTACATAATAAACAAGAGAGCAAGCCGAATCCCAACAGGAGCTCTGTACTTCAGATATACTAATAATATATCCTAAAAATAGCAGATTGTCATTGGCAACGGCAAAAGAGTGGAAACATCATTCACACTTGTTCGCAGAAAGACTGTTGTTCTCCTCACATAACTGCCGAACGGAAAGTCCGTTGTTTGCAGCCAGTCTGTTGCTCGAGTCACGTAATGGCCAAACAGGAAGTCCGTTGTTTGCAGCGTCCGTTATTCGAGGCACCACTGTTTTATAAAACAAAGTGTTATTAAAACAAAGTTCAGAATAATTTTGAGTTTAAAATTGTTTTTATATTTAATTTTTATTCCTAAAATTACAATCATATTAAGGATAATTATAATAAACTCATATTTAAAAAATATATATGTGACAATGCCGAAGTGCCCTCTATGCTTCGGCACCACAGGACTGAAGGGTTAACATTGCATCAGCGAAGACTGCAATGACTACTTTGTCAGGAATGACACCACTGTGTTTTCTGGATAGACACAGAGACCATTACATTCGCATTTACGCGTGAGCAGTCACATCTGTGGGCGGTTGGACTCGGGATGGAGACCGCTTGAGGAAGTGCACCCCACACAATTCTAACAATAACAAAATTCGTTTATTAAACTAATTCTACAAAAGGGTATTTACCCTAAAGCTTCTTTACAAGAGCCGAGTTGGAGAGAGAGAGCTTACATAACATCACAGGTCGTTATAAATACCTGAAGCACTGTGTGCTGATTTCCAGATGGCTATGGAGTCGTTAGGGAGCCTTGGGAATGTCTCTGTTGCCTTGGATGGTGGTTAAAGTCTGTTGGAAGTTGAGATCCATTGGTTCTTCATAGGTGTTCCTGGAGAACACAGGATATTCGTGAGGAGCGCGTGGTGATGAGCGATGATGATAAATCCTTTCGGCTGGCTCACAGGGAATACTCTTGAGGACTCTCAACCCATCACTGTTCCTTAAGTTCTCTTTATTTCCAAGTCACGTTGTTGTTTTCCACCAATAGTGAATTTTTAGTTGTAGTTCCCTGTGACACATTCTGAGTTCCCTTGGAAAGGAAACGACTCCGGGAAGAGAAATGCACTCATCTTCCAGTAATAAAACTGAAAAAGTTTTTTTTTTTGAGATTTAAATAAATTTCCTCTTCAAAACGAAAAATGAATTTTCTTTCGGAAAATTTTTGAGTAAAATTGTGGGTTTTTTTTCAAGTCTGACCTCTCACATATATATTTATAGGTATTTTGAACAAGATGATGAAGATGAAGGAAATCCTGGTAATTTAGAATATATTCCAGCTCCTGGAAGTCCTTCTCTTGAAACTGCTCAGAAACAACCAGCTCGTGAATCTGATAGTGAAGAAGATCCCTTAGATGCATTTATGGCAGGATTAGAGGTAAATTTACATAAGTTTATTCATAACTGTTTAGTATTTAGTTAATATATTTAATGCTATTTTCAGTATCTTAGAATTAAACATTTTCCCCTAATCAGAAATGCATAATTTTTATTAGAAAGAAATAGAAACTGATAAAAACAAGAAAAGTAAAGATACAAAGTAAGTAAATGTATTTTATAATATTTTGTAAACTTGCTAATCAGAAATAAATGAAATAAAAATGTTTTAATCCATCATAATAATAGATTAATAATTTATTTTTAAGAATTATCATACGTATCAATTAATTAAAAATTATTAATTATCATATACTGTATTAGCCAGAATTTAAGTCAATCTTGATTGCACAATTAGTTGACTCCCAATTCTGGAATCCTTATTTTTTGAAAAAAGTTAAGACCTGAAAGTCCTGAATATAAGTTGATCTTTTATTATTTATTTTATTTGCATACAAAAAATTAACAATTAAATAAAAATACAATAAAAAAATAATCAAAACAATACTTCATTTCTTTCATCTTCATCAGAACTCTCATTGTCATCATGATCTTCTGCTCCCTGAAGTTCAGCCTCTGTTCTGTACAAGTTATTGATAACACAGCATTTCGTAAAGTCCTTTATAATTGTGTCTTCACCAACAATCTTTCATAATTCTATTGTTGTTCTAACTATTACAAAAATTAGTTGTGTTCAATTACATTTCTTTCTTTAGTTAGAAATAAAAATTTTTTGAATTCAAACTTCAAAAAGTTAGAATAGAATAGAAATCAATAAATGTAAATGAATTTTTGATTGTTTTCTTAGAAATTTTTACAAACTGCATTTAAATCTTACTTAGTCTATCAGAAAATTGTATTTAAACAGTTTGTTTTACAGAAAGAAATATATGTATTGGACATCTATAAGTGAGAAATTATAACTTAATGGGGGCTTTTTTTTTTTACATCAATAAAAGTGAAATTTATAAAAGTTAGAGCAAAATTGAAATGATGTCAGGTAGTGATGATGTATATGCTGGGCACGCTGCCCAGCATATACATCATGCTAGGGTTTTCACATATATCCTGGAAAATATACTTGCAGTTTTAGGAGTATCAAAAATGAAATAAAAACTTTGTTGTTCATTTTGCTTGTCTTATTTTTTCATAAGTGTCTGAAACATTCTTTTTATAAAATATAAAAAATATACAATCAATCAATCAATCAATCGTTATTTTATTAAGGTGTGAACACGCATATCCAGGCTCCACATAATAGCATTACTGGGAGTAAAGGATACATCAACATAATTTTACAAACAATTCTTACAAGGATAAATACATTCAACATTACAATAGTGAGGTAACTTATTTACAGAGGTAATTTTTCATATTGTTTATCACGTCATGTGAAATGGTTATATTAAGTACATATATAGTAATGACAATATATTTACATTATGTTATTAGCAGTAACAGAGTAGCAATAACAGAGTAATAATATATAGAATAATCACAGAATAGATTAAGATTAACCAACATGCAATTATTTAAAAACAAACAATGATGGTAATAATAAAGTATGATCATTTTCAAAATGAATAACAGCATTTAAAGAAAATATACATATTCAATAATGGTAGAAGGTGCATTCCATATTATTATTACTTGAGTTGTATTATTTTTTATACATTTAATATGTAGAACACATGTTATAATATGTAATAATTAAATATCATATACAGATTAAATAAATGTATAATTAATACCATAACTAAATAATATATTTATCAACAATATAATGAATAGAATAGACAAGTAGATACTTTTCATCAATAACACAAGGGTCACTGGATCTACAATTGTTAATGAAATATTATATCAATAATGAATAAGATATTTTAACAGGATACACATATTTAGGCATTATGGTGTGTGTGTATATATGTATATCTTATATTCAATGTAGAAAACAATTTGTCCCCACAATTAACATTTAGTACATGTATAATAAAATGAGTAATCATAGTATGCATAACAAGCATATACAGTATATATTATGCAAGTAATACAGAATTAATTAATAAAATTATAAATATATTATACAATAGAACAAAATTAATTACTGTTTAATTATTATTTAACTTCATTAAGTAAAATGACAAATATTAATAATAATAAATATAGTAAACAAGTTAGAGTACACTACATCAAAAATGCAAGCTGCACAAAAGTTTCACTTCAATCAATGATAATCTCCATCCATAATCTAAGTCCAAATCAGCCAACATAGTCCTGTAGCTGTAATTGAAGTACCTGATTTATCTAAAAGATGCACAGGATGCATGGAATTACTTGATTTGCATTGCTTGCAGAAAGAGCAGGCAAATTTCACCCAAGTTCATATCAACCGATGAAGTCCTTTAGCTGCCAGTTGTAGTTCTTGGTATGTCTGAAATATGCACAGGATGCATGTAGAGACTTGATTTACATTACTTGCAGAAGAAGTAGGCAAATTTCACACAAGTTCATTTCAACCAACAGGGTTCACTAATGTTTTTGTTGATTCTCCTTGAAAAGCCAAACTAAGGCAGAAAAGCATGAGATGAAGCAGTGCATTTCAACCGACAAAAGTTCAGCAGCTGTCAGGTTGAATTTCTGGCAGGTGTGTATGTAGCACAAGGCACTTGTAGAATAATAGTTTTGTATTTCTAATAATAGTCACAAGCATAGATTTTCATAAGTTCATATCAGCCATCATATCACAAATTATGGAATTCCTTCGAAAGTCTAAGGAATGTGTATGCACATATGTGGTGCGAAGGATTGTGATTCATAGTAGGTTGTTGAGGAAAGAAAAAATACCCAACATATCAAATGAAATATGTCGAATGAAATATCTCTCCATCAATCCATCCGGTATGGCCAAAAGACTGGCAAAATAATTAAGTTGAGCATATAGACAATTAATTTAGCACAAAGAACAGCATTTATTCGGATGTATGCCATCAGCCATCACCGACAACAAAGAACATGTTAGACAAAGCGAAAGCAAAGTATTGAATAACAAGCCTAATATCAATCTGAATATCTTACAAAACAATACAATATCACAGACATCTTAAACACCTATCAATTAACATAGCTAATAATTACAAGTCGGTTGCAAAATGAATAGGTTAAGTTGAATGCCAAAGTAACTAAGCATTGATACCATGTTGAGTAACAAAGTTAACTTTATTAGCTAGTCTTTTAAAAGTGTTGTAAATGTCACAAGTGATCCAAATGTCTGATAACCGACAAGGCCATGTGATGCCATGTTCCTCAAGTAAAAGTCAAAGTTCTAATCTCTCTTGTTTGATTTTTATGCAATCATAAATATAATGTATAGTGCTGTCCTCTACCAGACATGTAGGACACAGATTAGAATTTCTATTTGCAAATCTCACGAGATAACTCGCATATTTTCCATGGTTTGTCAAGAGCTGTGTGGTATTATGGTTAGGTGTATACCATTTAAGTGTAAAAAAATGTGCAATATTAGGAATAAACTGATAAGTAATATGTTCAATGTTAAGATCCCAATTTGTCCGCCACCTACAAAGAGTATCTTCCCACAGCAGCTGTCATAGTGTCTGTTTACTGATTTTATCATATTCAAAAGGTGCAGCAGTGTTCTCTGCAGCCTGTTTGGCTAGGCAATCCGCCCTTTCATTTCCTTCCACACTTTGATGGGCTCTAACCCATGTTATTGCAAAAATAGTCTGTTGTCCACAAAAGGTTTCAAATATTTTAAGCAATTGGATATAATTTCAGGCTTTTTAAGAGAGTGTAGGCAGAAAGTGAATCTGTATACAAATGAATGGTTGTTCCAGGAAGATTGATATTTGCCCATTCAATGGCACAGCGAATTGCAAATAGTTCTGCTTGAAATACAGTACAACAATTGCTTAGGCATGAATTCTGACTGAAAATCACTAAATTGTTAGCAAAGACTACAAAGCTGCAGCCAACTGCATTGTTAATTTTTGATCTATCGGTATAAATTTCAAAATCTGCAGATTGTATATTGGTGAAAGTGCAGTTTACAGAAGTGCCAGGGAACATTGTATTACCATAGGGAAAATTCCACTCACTGTCATCATGAGTTATAGTATGTGAACTGCACTGTATGGACCTGCCCCATCTTAGCTGCTGTAGCCTTGCTTTTTGCATAATAGTTAGATCAATTGGGGGCTTTTTTGTAATTACTTGCAGACTTTGATTGCTGACAGTGCGATAAGCCTTAGCAATAAGTAGAAATGCACGTCTTTGGGATGACACCAATTTTCGTCTGGGATGCATCTTTTGTGATGCCCAACCCCAAGACCCGCAAGCATATGTGATTATAGGGATAAATATTGCATCATAAATAATAGATAATGCAGGTGCCACAAGCCCCCACTCTCTCCGAGCAATCTGTGCAAAGGATTGAAAAATAAGTCCTGTGCGGCTGGTGATATAATTGATGTGACAATCCCTGTATAGTCTGAAATCAAGCATTACGCCCAAGTATTTTAAAGTTTGATCAACCTTGATGGTGTTGCCATTCATTTTGATATGTGGAGGTCTTTTATAAAGGTTAGGCTGTCCAGATTTATTAAAAACAATACCTTTTGTTTTTTGAGTATTAAAACGTAACTTATGCATAGTACCCCAATCAAATATATTTTGCAGCATGATATTGCCTCTAGTCTCGAGGTCTGCCCTTGACCTACCATCCAATGACAGTAGTGCATCATCTGCATAAGCATAACTTTGCATCTGGCCAAAATCCTGATGTAAAAAAATATCAAAGACAATATTCCATAAAAGAGGTCCAAGGACAGAATCCTGCGGGGAACCCTGAGTAATATCCTTGCTAACTTGTTGTTGTTGATACTGAAATATGGCCTTGTGATTGAGAAGATAGTCCCGTATTAAATTTAAGATGTTTCAAGGACAATTGATGTTAATGAGGGGCCACCAAGCACTATCGAAAGCCTTCGATATATCAAGGCTGACCTCAAGAACATATTTTTGATTTTCTAATAAGGATTGTATGGTCTTAGTCACGGTTTCAATAGCATCTTCAGCCGATTTTTGCCTACGGAATCCAAACTGTTCCTCACTTAAAAATCTTTTGTGTTCAATTAACCATGTTAGTGTGTTTGTTACTAACTTTTCTAAAACTTTACCTAACACAAGCAAAAGAGATATTGTCTAGAATGATCAGAAGACCCTGGTTTGGGCACAGGGACAACTTTTGCAATTTTCCATGCTTGTGGGAAGATTGCATGGTGCAGGCAAGTGTTGAAAATATTAAGCAGATGTTGTGGAATAATAGTCCAAAGTTTTTTGGCAACTTCAGCTGTGATTTCATCAGGACCAGGGGCTTTGCCATTTCTCTTGCTGTTAAAAACATAGTCAGCCTCTTCCATGGTAAACATCGGATCATCTTCCGTAAGATTTTCAGGTGTGACAGTGAATTCCAAGCGCAAATGTCTGTGCCAATCCATATCACTATCAAAGTTATCTGCTGGACAAAAGATCTCAAGTTGGGAGGTCATAGCTTGCAATAAAGTTTCAGGCTCATTTCCATTGTAGTCAGTAGTTATAATCTTTGTCTTCCTTAATTTGTTAGAACACATTTTAGTAATAAAACCCCATGGGTTAGTCGATGTTTTTGTACAAAATTCGCACCAGCTTTGTCTTTTCTTGTCCTTAATTGCCTATTTGTATGTCTTTTGACTCTGAAGATGTACTTCCTTATGTGAGTTTCTAATATCATTATCTCTGCAACATTTATAAATTTTTCTGAGTCTCGTAGTTGTTCTTCATAGGTTATCAAGATTAGATATCCACCAAAGGACACTTCTCTTAGATGGCGTCTTTTTTGGTATATATATTTCACATGCATTACATATCACCTCAATGTCGCCCTTAATTTGGTTTCTTGCTTCGGTAGAATTTTCTGAATAAGAGATGGTCAGAGATCTCTCTAAATAATCCTTCACATCATCCCATCTGGCTTTATTCAAAGCATATCTAAAGTGGTTGACCCCCCATAACACTGTTGATAATTCTGTTTTATATGAATTCCATGTTGTACGAGTCACTTAGATTTTACAAATACGTGAGCCATTCACAGTCCGGCACATGTATTTGTAAAATCTAAGTGACTCATACAATATGGAATTCATATAAAATGAAATTATCAACAGTGTTATAGGGGGGGTCGACTGTAATTTTATTGAATACAAAATAAAATTTACATTTTACAACAATAAATTTAGTGGTAAATTTTCAACAACCTTTCTCCCAGTTTTTGACAATTGCTCAATTAGTAGCGACTCCTAGAAGTAAAATAAAGTTACCAAAACTGACTGATTCTATTGAATATAATAAAAAAAATAGGGTATTTACATTTGTGCCAAACACTTAATTCTTGCACATAGTTTGCAGGCTGCAGCATGACAGATCACAACTTAGCTAACATTTAGCATCACTAAAAAATTGATGTACCAAATTTTGATGTTAATTTAATTCTGTACAATGTGTACTACAGTTATCAAAATTGAGAAAATCTTTAATTGGACTCTAATATATATAATGTAGGTCAAGAGTGTTTTTTATTTATTTATTTATTTTATTTTTTCAAAACTGGGAAAAAACATCAACTAGTATTCAGACCAATACAGTATTTAACTTAAAAGTTTTTTCCTTTGCCTTTTAATTTTTATTAGATAATTATTTTTTATAGATTATATTTTTATACGATATTTAAGTAGAGAAGACTGGGATAATTGCACAATTTAACTTTTGTAGCCATAAAAAAAATGAAAAAATTGTTCAATTTGACTACTGGCTGTCATTTCACAAACATGTTCCTTTTGCCCTTAAAATATATTTTAGTGAATGTGCTAGCCGTAACTGAAAATGTATAGAAACTATCTATATAAAGTAAAAGGTTAAGAATGTACTGTACCATTAGCCCCCTTACATAGGTATAATGGGACAGCTGTTGGGGCTATTTGGACAGACAATAAAACTTAAAGTACAGTGTAAATAAAATATTTTAATGCCTTTAGATAATACAATCATACAAAAATGTTAATTTGAAAAATAAACAAAAAATGAAATATTTTAATGACATGCAAATTAGCCTTCAGAAATCAGTAACCTGACAAATCTTCAGAAAAGGACAGCAAGGATACTTCTTGCAGTGTATTTTCTATTTCTGGTTCATTTAGTTTTGAAACAATATCACTGATGCTGATCCAAGCTTCATCTACCTTTTCTGGATAAAAGAATTTCCAAAAATTACTTCATTTGATTAAAAAATTAATCTTGACTTCACTGTTTACTTCTCTTATTTCAACAGCTACTTTACATAGTGAATGACACTTTTTCTTTTATTAAAAACTTAACAAGTAGAAAATCATTCACTTTTACTTTAGGAAATGATTTATTAGGACATGCCTTCAAAAATATCATGAAGTGACACACTTGTATCATCTTTGGATGTATTATCTAAGTCTGAAATTTGCTGTTCAGTGATACAATTACCAAATAGGTTTCTCAATTTTGTTTTCTGCATAACATGTGGCTTTGATTGGCCACGTGTGATGGCTTGATTTGACTTCTTTTTTGCTTTGTTCATTCTTCAGTTTTTATCTTTTCAATATATCAGTAAGTATTCATGTGCATCCAGTTTTTTCCTTGGCCAACCAGTTTTCTTAGCTGAGCTTTTGGTTAGGGTTGAATTATTTTTGGTGTCACTATTACTGATTTCCTCTCTCTCTCTCTAGTTTGCAAGAAGCAAATGAATTTTGACCAGATATGGTGGAAGAGCATAATGGCTCCGTAGAAGTTACCTAATGATTGTGAAGAAACAGTTTGACCATGGGAAGACTGTGGCTTTGCATTTGGATCTGGTCAGTCAGTAACATATGCTAATAAGAACTCATTAGCTGTGAAGTTTTTCCAATAAAAAAGATATATTCCTTTATATTTCCTGTTTTGGAAAACCAAGACAAAATTTTTCTTGGTGCAAATGCTGACATAAAACTTAGATTCATAAGATTTGCTATTTCGTAATAAGTAACAGCTTTTCCTTAATTAGACAACATTCAGTCATTAAGTATACTGTCATATTTTGCCTTGAATGAACTATAGAAACTGACATCTAAAAACTGAACCTGATATGAGCAGTGAGGAGAAAATTACTGTAATAACACAATAACACCATTGTCTTTGCAAATTGAATAGTTTCAATAATGATATGACTCTTATGATTATCTAATAGGAGTAAGACAGGGCTTTCCCTTTTTTGAAGAACTGTATTTGAGAAAATGCTTGATAACTTTTATAAAGGAATCTCCTGTCATCCATTCTGATTTGTTCACTAGTGGAAGACTTCCTGGAGGAACACCAATTATCAAAAAATCTATCATTAGAGTTTTTGGAAATACAAATGCAAGTGCTATTGTATTGCTAGATATACTTATTTTTCTTATTTTCCTGGTTTTCTAGTTGACATATAATAAAATTATTAGATCAAAGTACTCTAAAATGGACTACTCCTATTTTAAGTATTTTGTGGTATGAAATGTTGATTGTATCCTTAAGTGATTTATGTCACTTTCAATGACTATTCAATGTGCATAGCTCCCAACTCTTTCTGAATATTTGAATGCAACTAGTTAGTTGTATCAACTTAAATTTATGGCACTTCTTTAAGCACTTTAATTTATTATTAATCTATTATGATTTTTTAAATTGATACACTATCCAGTGTATCAATTTATTTACCCATGTTGAGGAGAAAACTTTATTTGTTGCTGTAAAAAAAATAGATTAATTTTCTTATTTCTATTTCAGAAAAACGTAACTGGGCCTTAGCTTTATCAAACTTATTTGTTTATTGTAAAAATTAAAAATATTTGTTTTAGGATAAATAAATAATAAAAATTAATATGTATATAATCAAAAGAAAAACTACATTTATAGCAGAATTTATGAAAGAAATCTGTCTCAAATTATTGGCAACATCTCTGGGATAAAGGCTTGGGCACTTGTTCAATCTTCTGTCCCAAAGTTCTACAAAAGTAAAATCTTTAACTAAGTGATTTAAGAGGCCAAGGATGTCAACAGCTTCAACATGCATGGAAGCATAATGGTGTGAAAGTTGCATAGTGTCCTTACATGTAAAAGCATAAAAACACATTATTTCTATTTTTCACATTCTTTGAATGTAGTGGTGAATGAGGCAGATGTTATGTTAAAGTTCTGTTGCTTTTTGACATTTTACAACATAGTTATGTGTTTCTTGTCATCTCCACAATGATGATACGTATTTTAAAACAATATGTTTAAGGATTAATTTTGAAAGCTGTAAGTGATACCCAATTGGTCAGTTGACTAGAAGCACTCATCAAACTGTTGAGATATCAGTTTGAAAAAATAATTGAAGCCTATAGAGTTTTTTAAATGCACAACAATGAATTGTAGCATCAGTGCTTGCAAAAAAGAAATTTGAATCAATTGTCTTATTGAGGAATATGGCAAATTTTAAATTTTATTGTTTTATAATTATTTGATATGATGTGTCGAACAATGTCAACATAATAAGTAAAGCTTTCCAAGAAATAAGTTTAGATTTAGCTAATAAAAGTATTCTTATTGCTAAATATATTAGAAACAGAACAAATTGCAACAAAAATTAGAAATTGAAAAAAATTTTGAAAGAGTAGATTTCAAGAATGAAAAACAATGCTTGAGGATGAAAATTCCATGTGAAAGCAAAGAGAAAGCAATGTGTGATGAAAAATAATAATTTAAAATTAAATTTTATTATCTTATTCTAGATCATGTAATAATTTAGGATTGCTTTGATTTAATGACTAAACATAAAAGCAATTTCAATAGTTTATGGAATTTCAATAAATTTAAGGCAATGGTTGACAATGAACTTCACTGTACAGATTTAGAAATTTTATTAAAATAAACTAATAGTAGGAAAAAAATGTTTAAACATTTTAAATAGATTCAAGTTTATTTAATTTATGCAATTATGAAGTGTTGTTATATGTAAAATTTAAATAGAAAGAAATCGTTAAACATTTAAAGAAACATTTTTTATTTTAGAGGTATTAGAGATGATATTGAAAATGAAGATGATGAAGAATCTTATTATCGTTATATGGAAGAAAATCCTAATGCTGGAGTAGAGAAAGAAGAAAGTGATATTGAATTAGAATATGATGAAGATGGAAATCCCATTGCACCTCCTAAATCAAAGGTAATTTATAGCATATATATTATAAGAAAATATAGAATTAGTTTAATCTCCTATGAACAAACTAATTCCATAGCTAAATTAGAACAGAAAAATAATTTAGCAGTTTACATAATATATAAATTCTAACTATTTTTCATTTTTTCATTACTTTAATCAGGAGTAAAAATTTAATATAGTTTTCCTTCAAAAAAATTTAAGTTAAATTCAGTGCTTTTTCCAGAATCTGTTTAATGAATACACTGTCTGGCTAATTAATCTGATGAATCTGATAGCATAAAAAAATAGCAAATAGGAATAAAAGTACTGTATTTTCATAGAATGACCAGCATGCTGCATCTAATCAGGGTAGATTGACACGTAGATTGACTGTTAAATTGTTAAAAAATAAAATTAATCAGATTTAACAAAATTAGTTGTTAATTAAATGTTAAAGAAAACATTCTTCCCATTACAATAAAATAATAACATTATAATTTGACCAACTTAAAATCACGAAGAGCATTTTTGTTTACAAGACAATAAAACAATCAGCGACTTATTGACAGTAGTAGTAAGCTAGTGTGGGCTGCACTGACATTTTACCTTGACCTTAAAAATAACACCTTCCTCTCAAATTTCACACAAAGTGGATGTTAATAAGTTGAGTTAATTTACAGCCAGTTTCTGAAATTTAATATCTTTAGTTTTGCATTTCTGAATCAAATTATAATAAACATGAGCACTTTTGGCATTGTATGAGTATTTTACACAATTAAAAAGAAGACAAAATGAGAAAATTAAACATAAAATTGTAGTATTTTGATGTAATGCTGACAGGTTCATAGTTTTAGATAAAAACTTGTTAGTTTTTGTGACATAACTCATTTGTTTTTTAATGCATCCTCTAGAGAGGGATGTATAACCTCACATAAACTGACATGATAGTTTTTACCTTATGGAAATATCTATTTCATGGTCTCCCCTGATAGACCGACATGCTGGACAGTTTGCAAAAATACTGTACAAAATTGTAAAGGTCTGAGTTTATTTGTAGAAAAATACTATAAGAAAATAATACAAAAATAGAAAAATTTTTCATTTCCATAGCATGGAAAAAGTCCAGGAAATTGAATTTAAAATTTTTAACTTTTCCATTACAAATTGAAGCAAAATTAATATCAAATAGAAAGTGAGGTAAGTTGTGACTTTAATAGATTAACATGGCAGATATAATAAAACTATATAAAATGTTAAATGCTTATAACAAAGCATAAATATATAGTTCTGTATATTAGAAAGCTATTAATATTTAACTTTTAAAAAGATTTGCAAAGGATTAGGAGTCAAAATGTGAGATTTTGTATACTCAGCAAATTATTTGTTGAGCATACAAAATCTCACATTTTGTATGCTCACATATAATCAAGAGCAAATTATTTGTTGTTTATTATACTACTAGCAGACCCCGCCACGCGTTGTTGTGGCTCAAAATGTATCTATTATAAATGTATAACACTTCCCCAATTAAACGCAATCAAAAACGCAAAAAAACCGCATGTAAAATAGTATAAATAGAAGCAGAGTTCTTTACGGTAAGCCTTAATCCTAACCATCTCCCTTCAGTGGGGGGAATTTCGACACGTATGTTATATAAAAAGACGTGCATATTCGAATGCAACGTTGTGTGAAAATTTCAAAGGAGTCGGTAGGAACAAATGAACATTACATTTTTATTTATATAGATAGATAGAAGATGATCTGCTTTAGTTCATTTTCACAGAAAAGCATAATGCCTCATAGAAACGCAAACTTAGGGCGTCGTATTTGTACCGCCATCTGTTGGACATAAAAGCCTTAACCTAGATTATATATTTTAATTTATATGAATGTTTATCGGAATAATATACAGCCTATGTCCACCCTGAGGTTCCATTCTAAATATTGATGAAAGAATTTTTGAAATCGGATGAGTGGTTTCGGAGATTACCTGCTGCAAAGAAACATACATACATACATACATACATACATTCATTACCTCTTTATAATATTAGTATAGATATCTATTTTGTAACTCTGACATCATTCCAATGGCACTAATAGTAGACATTCTTTGAATTTCTGTTTTCAACAACATTTCTTCAGAAAATAAAGTTAACATGTGAAAGGAATTATTTTTTTGTTTTTCATTGCAATTTTTCTACAAGTGGGAACTATGCTTTTCTGTGATGTTTCTGTGATGGAAAGCTTTTCTATTTTTCCTATAGTTTTCTCTGCAAGTGGGACTAGACTTTATTGTCAATGCATGTGTCAATGATTTGTACATATTAAATATAATAATAATAGTGTTTTGTATTTATTAAATTACATTTTAATGAGTTAAAAATTAAGCCAGAAAATGCTGCCAGTTATTTTAAGGAACATATAACTGATAGCCATAGTAATGAAGATGCCAGTCTAACAACAAACTTGTTAATTAACAACAGTATGTGATATTATAAGACTTGCTTGTGTGATTAATTTAACTTTTGCACACACTCTTTCAATATAAGTGTGTTTGTTTGTAAAGAAAGAATTGTATTTACAAACAACAGAAAATTTTAAGATGTTTGGTGTTTTTTTTTTTTATTCAGCTATACAAATTTTATTGAAAATCAAGATCCTTTATTATTGAGTTTAAGTTTTAAATCTAAGATTTTTGACTTTGGCTGTTAGAAGCGACTACTGGCGAACACCACATAACTCTTGTAATGTAAGAGAAAACATCTAGAGAATAGAGTTGGCCAGAAAAATGTCAAGGCTAACTATTACCAGTGTTTAGCCATCTGTATGTAATCTGTTGTTACTAGCCTCTTAGCAAGATGTTGTTTTATAACCTTTGTTCTTTGTTATTATTAAATATTTTTTATATCTAAAACAATCAAAAAATTCTTCACATTTTACATAACAGATAGAAAGTTTTTAGAATACCACAATGATAAAATTTTTTCTTCCTATTGAATTTTATTTTAAGCATTTTATAATGTTTTTCTAATTTCTAAAATAATTAAGAGAAATGATATAAAATAACTGTTAGAATTCAGTAATTTTTTTAGCTGTTTATTAGTTATATTGCATTGTATTACCTAATGATACATTTTTGTTTTGAAATTAAGATTTTAATAGATTTGATGAAATTTTAGTTAAGTGAATTTTAAAAGATTAAATATAAAAAAATTATTGTACATAATTAAACTAAAACTCAATTTTTTAAATTCCAAACAATTTTAAATAATTTGTTTCTATTTTTAGTATATAGATCCTCTCCCTCCAGTTGATCATTCCACGATTGAATATGCAAATTTTGAAAAAAACTTTTATGAAGAACATGAAGATATAGCTCGTCTTAAACCATATGAAGTAGAAGAATTGAGGAAGAAAATTGGAATTAGAGTTTCTGGAGCTGCTCCTCCAAAACTAGTTACTAGTTTTGGACATTTTGGATTTGATGAAAAACTTATTAAAGCAATAAGAAAATCTGAATTCACTCAACCAACTCCAATACAAGCACAGGTAATATTTTAAATAAATATGTGCATTTATATTTATTTGCTAAAATGGTTTTGATTTTTAAATGAGATATATCCAAACACTTTGAAATGATAAATTTTTATATTTAATTTTGATAAATTTCCAAATTTAAAGTAAATAAATTGAATGCTTTTTGCATTAAATGCATAACTTTTGTGAATTGCACCTATGATAAATTATTAAACTGTCATTTTAATGTTATTGTTAGTGATACTTTTATTATTAATGATACTTTTGTGAATCCACTCGCAGATGATGGTGACGTTAAATAATGTGCAAAACATTGAGGTTGTACTCCTAAAGACAGCTGGACATAGCATGTAGTAATATATTTATTATATACAAATGCAGTTGTACAGTTTGAGTGAAGTTTAGTTTTATATTGTAAATACTTGTCAGTGATGCAATTTCACTTTGAACAATTTATTTACTCTGTTTTACTTGTTTTCAGCTTGCTTGTTATCTTAACTAACTTTTGTTTACTTATAACTAACAAACATGCAAGTTGTCAATTACAGGTAACCCCCGTATAACACAGTAGTTACGTTCCAAAAAATTGCCGTGGTATGCAAATCCGTGTTATGCGAATCAAAGAACTAGTACGAAAAGGAGGGTTAGGTTCCAAAAATTAAAAAACTTGCTACTATATTTTCATAATTAAGTTAAATATCTTTATTAAAATTTTTTTATGTTATATATTTTTATATATTTTACACTGTTTTCTTTGTCATCACTAAAAGCACTATTAACCGAGAGCGTTTTATTTTTGGCAAGTTATCGTTATCCTCCATTTTTCTGCATTATTTTCAGATTCATGCTTTACCTTTTGAAAAAGTGTTTGTAATTTTAGATTGCTTGCTTCTAGTTAAAAGATCTTTATAAATTTCCTTATATGGTGCTAAGCACTTATGGAAAAGGGGAAAACATTTGGCGACACCAGAAGCAGAAGCATCGAGATATGGCAAAATTGAAACAATTTTCACGAAGGACCATGTGTATGGAGACGAGAAAAGAAAATTTACACACTGAAATACTAATAGTTCACGAAAATAATAATTTTCGTGAACTATTAGTACTTAAGTATGTAAAAATTTATTACATTTCATGTTGTACGAGGGTTTTACCCATTTCTCGAACCATGTCAGAGTGAATCTGTGCTATAAAAGTACCGTGTTATACGGGGGTTACCTGTATTTATTTGTTATATTCATTTTTCACACTTCATACGCATTACTTTTATTTTGATGAGTAATCTTGTCAACATTTTTATTTTATTTATATTACTTCATTTTATTTTCATCAGAAAATTGGCTGACAAGTGTTTTCTAATATTTTAATGTTATTTGGGAAATATGGGTAGGGTGATCAGGTTATGCCAGAATGAGTTACAAGTTTTGATTATGAGAAATAATGAAATATCTCATCTCTATTTATTAAGGGATTTAACAAAATTAAAAAAATTGTTTGATTGATTGTCACAAATTGAAAAATTTGCTTAAGGTTGCATTTATAACTATGTCAATGAATGTTGTTTCTAATGCATCAAATTGTGGTTCACTCTGCATCACTATGAGTAGGCACAGTGAAGTAATTGATGCAGTAGAAACAGTGACTCATTAATCATGTTTTGTTTTGTATTGTAATAAATAAAACCTAACACTAGTACGGATAATAATATAGTTTAATAGCAGGCTTAGATCACTAGCAATCATTATTACATATAAATTTCATAATTTCTAGAATTAATATTATATTCTGAGTTGATTTTACATCAACTCAGAATATTAATTCTAGAAATTATTAAGTGAAATGATGTTAATTGTAGAATTAACATCATTTCACTTAATATCACAGTATCCAAGAACCTATTGATGAATAAAGACCAAGGACTTGCTGTATGTAAATTATACATGGAAAGATATCCAAATTCACAATCTCTTGTACAAATGAGGTAGTGTTGTATCTCCCCTGATGATGGGCTTGGCTACCTGAAAATGCAAATGAAATGAGTTTTCACTTTATAAACAATGAAAATATGAAAACTTAATTAAGGTAGATTTTATGAAGTAATTGTAATTATAAATGATGGTAATATTTAAGTGAAAACATTTTAATATATGACAAATTCTAAAAACATTATTAGAATTATTAATTTTAATTAATTTAATTCTTTGTAGTTTTAATTTAATTTGAATTACATTAAAATGAAATTTAATTTCAGGGTGTTCCAATAGCATTAAGTGGAAGAGATATGATTGGAATTGCAAAAACTGGCTCAGGAAAGACAGCAGCTTTTATTTGGCCTATGATAGTTCACATAATGGATCAGGTAAAGACTTATTACCTGTTTTAGTTGTAGAAGAATTACATTGCATTTTGAAAAAATTATGTGAATGTGAAATTAATGTAAGAATAAATTTAATTTATAAGATATTTAACATAATTTAACAAAGTTTAATAGCAAAATTAACAATTACTTTTAAAATATGAGAGTTAAAACCATATAGTTCTTTTGGTTTATGTTCCTATTAAATTTCATTTTATAATTAAATCAAACTTTTAAGAATCCAAAGATAGCTGAATCAGTTTTTCAAAGAACAAAATAGCAAATTTCAGATTTATTAACTTTTACAAAATTTTTATTCATGGTAATAAAAAGTTTATTCAAAAATATAAATGTTTAAATATTTAAACTTTCAGAATTCTTTTAATTGCACGTGTTTTGATGAATTTAACAATAGAACTTTTATCTGTATTAGTAACTACTTTTTCTATTCATTTGAGACTGTTTACACAACTGAAAATTGTTATTATGACTAACAAAATATAATAAACATTACATAGACGACTAACATGCAAATTGGTAAAGTTGTTAATGTTAGTACTGTACTCATGATTTTTGTAGATTAGAGCTAACAAAAAAAAAAGAAATACTATAGATATATGTAACTGACATTTATCTAGAGTTATTAATTACAGTTAGATATAAATACAAAATGTCTAGACCTAGATATATTTTTAACTAATAGTAATTAATTTTATAAAATGTTTTAAATTTACAGTCTTTTTAAAACATTGCTAAGACCATGTAATACATTTTAATATAAACTTGTTTTAATATACTATTTGATCATTATGACATTTTATGATTTTTCAATGTGCTTTTATCTCAAGTTACTTTTGAAAAATTGGTTTATTAAAGCAACATTTTGTCATCATTACATATTTAAATGGGTTTGACAGTTTTTTCCTTAAATTATTCTGGAATCAAATTTCAAAAAACCTTGGTTATTTTTGCATTTTAAATCTAATTATTATTGTTTTCAAATCAGGTATAGGTTTCTTTGTATTCAGTAGATATTCAATCATATTCTTTTCAATTGTTTTTGTAGTCCACTAGAAATTTATATTTAGGTCTGAATAGGTTATAAGCAAATTTATAAATAAGAATTTATGCTATATAACGAAACTTAATAAGTTTAATGTTTTCCTTTTTACAGAAAGAACTTGAGCCTGGTGAAGGTCCAATTGGTTTAATTTTAGCACCAACAAGAGAATTGGCACAACAGGTAAAGTATATTTAAAATATTTAAATCTTTATTTTTAATTTAAAAAAAAGAATAATTTTGATGAATGATGATTTCATTTCTAAAAGTGTTCTATAACCTGAATTCTACAAAATTTGAAATTGAAGCACTTTTTCCAAAATTTATATAAGTTACCATTATTATTTCTACTGCTGTACACAGTTCATTGTCAGTAAAAATGTAAATTATTCAAATAAAATATTTGCATATCAATTCATTTTATAATTGAATTAAATTAAGTTAAATAGATGCAATAACATCTTCATTTTCTTTTATCTTAATTGATCTTAATTGTTTTTAGAGATGCAACAATATCACCAAATATCTTTTTACAGAGACAACACTGTTTTTATTAAAAATGTGTTTAGAAACTGTCAATCTTTGTGTTAAACAGCATAGAATTTTGTAAAAATAAAAGTTATGTTTTTATCTAATTAAAATGAAACTAAGTCAAAGATAATAAATACATACAGTATTAAGGTATATATCATAAGATGTTACATTTTTTCAAAAAATTTTTTATTGCTTGAGTGATTTGTAACTTTCTGATTTATAGAGCCATCCTAAATAACAGGATGGCTCTATAAATCAGAAAGTTACAAATTATAGAAAATAGAACTATTTTTAAAATTGAATTACTGAATTTTGACATATAAATTATTAAATTAATCTCAACTTTTTGTGACTTTTGAATGATTGATCATTTATTTCTGTCATTACCATAGATATTTCAGGTTCTGCTAAATTTATTTGAATGTAAAATTTTATAATTAGAATTTGAATTAAGCTAATGATTCCCATCAAGAATGGAATTTCTTGATGGGAATCATTAACTTAATTCAAAATTTTATAATTAGCATTTGAATTAGCTTTGATTGTTGGAAACATTTAATTCTGATTATCTTATCATTTTACAGTAATTTAAAGTTAATAAAAATGTGAGAAACGTAATGGATTTACCATCTGTGTATGTGATAAATGCAGAATAATTTTTTTTGAAAATAAAATTTAGCAGAATTAATTTAATAATTTTTGTCAAATTCAAAAAATAGCTGTCAATCTGTTTTCATTATTACTCTATGATATATGCTTTTTTAAACAGTAAGTTTTGGTATTCACAAAAACAAAATTACTAAATGTATAAAAAGTACCTGGATTGAAATTTCTCATGAATAATAGAAAGTCAGTATAGAATTTGTTAAAAATTCATATTATAAAAAATGACTAGATTAGACTCTTGTGAAATATACAAAGATGAACATGATGAAAAGACAAGTCACATATTATGCTAAATATTATTTTGTTTCACTATAATATCATTTTTAAGTTAAATAATTAATTGATGAATGAATTAAACATTTAACATGATCTTTCAGTGTGATAATATAATTAAGCATATTTATTAAATATATAAAAAATTTTAAATAAAAGCCATCTAAAAGAAGTTAATTTTATACTATATTGATTTTATTTTGTGTTGGATATTGTCCTAATGTTAGAAAAAAGAGTGCTTTTAAGAGAGAGAACTTAATTATTAAAAAAATTTAGTGATTATGCATTTTAATTTAAGTCGTGCAATCTATCTCATTGTAGATTAATATATAACATATATGTTTAGCCATAACATAAATTTAAAAATTTAGCCTAAAGCTTGTGAATCAGATTAACCAAATGATTTGGATAAAATTAGCATTAGCTGGTTAAAGCAAGAGCAGAACAATCTATTAATTTTAAACTTTATCCATATTAAAGCATGATTTATATGAGTCAAATTGATAAAGTTGACATTAAGCAAAACTAGACACATGAAGTAAGAACAAAACTTAAAATTTGGGCTTTATCCATCCCTTTGCTTTGGTTTGATAGGATTTAGCCACACAACACATGGGCAATCTGCCAAAGGGGTGCCTTCAGAGAGGATATTCTATGTGAAAGTGGCCTCTATTCAGGAGTTACAAATATGAAGAAAACCTGGAAAGCTCTAAGTGGCCAGGTTATTGGTGAGATGTAAACCCATGAGCAACTACCAATGTTCAGGGATAAAGTCTTTTTGATTTAAAAACTAAAATTTCTTATTTCTATTGCATAAAAAATGAGGTGAACAAAAAACATAAATGTTGCTGGTAATTTCAGCAAATTTTCATTAAATTCATTTTTTAAAAATCTTACTTTAAAGCTAAACCTATAATTTTGACCTTTTACTTATATCTATTGTATTGTATCTTAAATGGTAATCAGTATTCTTTTTTCAATTAATAAATATAATTGCTGGGTGATCTTTTATGTCTTTTTTCAGAGCTTTGTCTTTTTATTTGTATTTTACTTTTAGTAATTTAGCTTCAAAGTACTGTTGCAGTATTTTTATATGATCTTGTATGTGTGGACTTTTAAGACAACTGAAGGCAAACTTAAAAATATAGGTATTTTTGAATATAATGTAGTCCTGGTGTTTATGAATGTTTTAATGTAGTTTATCATAGGTATAAAAGATTTGAAAAACTTTGATGTATTGCCAATTGGCTAGAAATCTAGTATGAATTGCCAAACCTGGAAACAATACATGATAGTGGGAACTGAAGCTAATGGTTAAAAAAAATTTTTCATGTCCATAGAAAACAATTATCTATATTCAGCTTTATCGAAACACTGATAAATAGAATCCACATTATTTGAATAATTAAAACTTAAAATTTGGATTTTAAGTCTTACTTTATCTAATTTTAGACATTGTTGACTTTATCTGTTTGTGATTTGGATAAAGCATGCTTTATACAGATAAAGTTCAAAATTAATAAATTGTTATCTGCTTTATCCAATTCATGCACTTTAATTATAGACAGCATGTATATAAGCTATAGCTAAATTATATCACTTTAGACCACTCTAGAAACAAAACTGATAAATGTACCTGTGACCGTAGGGTCGGCACCTCTTTGGCGCCCTGTCAGGATGACACCACCGAGTCTCTAGGGGACTCGGAAATCGTGACGTTAAGTCTAAAGATTCGCAAGCGGTAGCGGGGGAGCGCTTGGATTCGGAGTAGAGGTGAGGAGAGAGACGAGGAAGTAACTTACTCGGACTCCATAGTAACAAATAAATAACAATTTTAATTAAATCGAACTAAATACTATACAGAGATATCGGGCATATTATCGTTCTTAATTATACTAGGTCGTTGAGGGAGAGAGCATTTACAAACGAATCGCGGGTTGATAAATACCTTGTCAATGGACAGTTCTTTACACTAGATCCGAATCTTGTCCGTTCACTGATGTGGAGGCACGGAGGAGTGTAGAGGCTTAATCCAGCACGAATTTTTCTCTCAGGTTTAATCCTGGGTCACGGTTTTAATCCTGGAGGACGACTTTGTTGGGCGGACTTTGGATGACGACTGACTTCGGGGTCTTTTTTTTTTTTCTCTTCTTCATTCCTCTTGGGTTTTTTCCATGAGGTCAGTTGATGGCCTTTAACGGTCGCACTTCCAATATGTCTTCTCCATCAAAAGTTCCTGGTGACACATCCCTGACTAACTTGATCCGACTCAACAAGGAACAAACTCCGTGGGATATAATTTTTATGGCTTTTAGCCTAACTCGATAAAACGTTCGAATTTAACCGATTAAAGTTTCCAATAATTAAAATGTAAAATAACACTTTATTGTGGGTCTGTTCGTCCCTCACATACCTATAAAATCTCTATGTTGATATGGGGAAAACTATGGTTAGAGTTCCAAACACAGTTATAATTTTGCTACTAGGAGTCAATAATGGCACCACTGTTGTAGTAGTAGTAGCAGCAGCAGCAGCAGCATTAAAGAAATTGTTAAATATGCTTTATGTCATTCTGTCACATATTGCAATCAAGATATGCTGCCTTTTGTTGTTAATGTGATATCAAGACTAATGAGATTCATTTTCTTTTCAATTTATCTCTTTAGTTCTCATAAATTCACATCTTTATCTATATAAACCCTGTTTTTTAAATAGCCTCATAACCAGAAGTCACAATGTGTGAGATTGGTTAATTGAGCAGGCCATTGCATTGGGAAAGACTTGGTAATGGAAGATTGAGAAGTCAATGTGTTAAATGTGAAATTCGAAGTTAATGAAAGCATTTAATACTTTAAAAGTTTAATAAATTTAAAATAAAAATGCCCTCAACCAAAGGAATTTGATCCTACAAAAACGAAATCTAAAGTACATGCGAGAATTATAACTCTTTTTGTTTTAATATAAACATTCTCACGATAAAACCGTATATAGTTTACAGTTATCGGCGAAATTCGTCATATAGTTGTCATTCTAACACCACCTTTAACCCCACACCTGCTAAAACAATTGATCACCTGACAAATTTTCCCACCAAAAAGGTATAAAAGCCATCCTCCTTCCCCCTCTCCGGGGAGTCGCTGATCAAGAAGTCGCCATCGCACTATTAAGATAGAGTTTCGCTTTCCTCTAATCGGCCGCACCACATATTAGAAGACCTTTGATCCCAACCCTCAACTTGGATTCCGCCTTTCAGAAATTAAAGACCCTCGATATCATCGCAAGAGGTATGAACGCTTTATTGTAAGCTCTCTCTCTCATACGCGAATGAGACTTATCGTGTTAGAACGTTTGTTTTATTATTTGTCTGTAATAAATTGTTAGTTTAGAAAAATGGTGTCTTTATTCGACTATGCCAACGCCTTATCGTCGGCCCCGTAACTCTCCTCCACTCGCGTAACGCGTAACTGAACGTTACTACCATCCCTGACAAGAAAGTAGGTCACCGACCAGAGACCGGAAGGAGAGGACTCCTCTTCCCTCCCGGTGGCTCACAAATTGGGGTCACGGAAGTGAGGTTTGAATCTAGAAATCCCTAGAACCCTCACATAAACAATGTGTCTCTCAATGACTATGGGTATGGGATCATGCACTATATTGCATAAATATGATGTTACTATTTGCTATAGTTTAGGGATGACAAAAGTTTGTAGCATGTCTTTATAGCACAGCTGTTGTGTGATTCTTCTGTGACAGTAGTGCTGTTATATATGTTATAACCATTTTTGAAACTATCCATAGTTTTCCTATATCAAAATAAACCTGCTTACAAAGTTTTATCAATCTAGCTCTAACAGTTTTGTCTCAGTAGTTTATAGTGATATATTTTAATTCTAGACACCCTGTATTGTCAGTATCTTGATTTTTGTATGAATAAGTTATTAATTTAGTAATAATAATTGTTGAAATTTTTATTTAGATCTATATAGAAGCTAAGAAATTTGGAAAAGTGTATGGAATTCATGTTATATGTTGTTATGGTGGTGGAAATAAATGGGAGCAATCTAAAGCACTACAAGAAGGAGGAGAAATTGTTGTAGCCACACCAGTAAGTTCGTAATAAAAAATAAATATTTTACACTGTAGTGTAAAATGTATAATTTTGTAATAATAATTATTAATTTAATAATTAACTGCATAAAATATTACACATACAGGGTACCCACCAGCCTGGAATTTTGAGTACCAGGTTAAAGCTGTGAAATGGCATAGAATTTTGTTGTTGACTGTGATTTTTAACTTTATAATGAATACCATTAAGTGGATGATGTTTATATTGATTTATAGTGATTAAGCTTTTTTTTTCCAAATTCAAGTAATTTAATAAAAATGTAACAAAAAAATTTAATTACATATAAAAAGCATTTTGAAATTAACAGGATGTTAAAATTTCTAGTCCATATGTCATATGTGAAAATTGTCTGTTAAATCTGGTCCATTAAATTGACGATTTATTGTATAACCAGCATAAGCAATTGCTATGCAGTAAGCAACCACATGCCATAATTATTTTTCTGTGCAATTTACAACGATACTTGATTCTTGTTTTTGACTTGACATAATTTAGATTAAATTTTTGCTTTTCAATTGTTTTCTTGCATAAATAATACAATATTCTGTTTGCATGTTAAATGTCACATTGCTCCAATCAGTAGTTTCTGAGATATAGATCAAATTAATGATTATGCTTATTTTTAGGACATATGTTATATATTGGAATATTTGAAATATTTTTACTACTTATATCTCAGGATAATAGATGGTAAATAATGATAATCTCAGAAAATCATTTTAAAAACTAATAAAGAATTTAGAAATATAAATCTCTTAGATACACTGGTTACTTAATGTAATGTATTTCAACAGAATGTAGACTTGTATATAGCACAGAGAGCCATTTATCATTTGCCTCTTCAGATCCTACTATTTTTATCTTATTGTAGACTACCAAGTTAAATTGGCATATAACGGTACATTTGGTTCAGTTTACAATATTTTGCTGACTCTGCGCATAATATGATCATTTATGCAGCAGTAAACTAACTCTTAGCTTCTTCTGGAATGCAATGGTAAGGGTGTCTGAGTGAACAGCCACCATCTGACATAGATTTTTGTAGATGTGGCAGAAAAGGTTCTCTTTACAATGCAGTCAAATTTCTTGAACTCGAAGGATTGCATTATATAAATTATTACATAGGTGGCTCAATATATTATTTATATATATCAATATATGATTCTAAATAATTTAAATTTAAAAAATATTAAATGAATTAACTGATTCAGTTCTATTAATTTACTAATTTATAAGAGTGAGCATATGTGAAAAGCTTGTAACCAGAAATGTGGTTATTCTTTTTAGAATGAATTAATCCATTTAATTCCATTGTAGAAAATTATGGCAAAGAAGAAAATGAAAAATTTTTCAATTTTTGTACTTCAACTTCTCTGGTTTTGAATGTGAAAAGAGAAAGTTGATACCCAATGAAAAATGAGCTCAGTGAAACATCATTTGTAAAAATGATTGCCTAAAGTTTTCATTCCACCTATTGATAACCTTTGAATAGCAATGTCAAATTGAATAAGTGTTAATATACTTAATAAAATTAAAAGGTAAATATCCTGTCATGAAAATACAACTGATTAATTAGAGTTCTGTTGTATCCTAGTAGTTCCCTAGATAGAATATTTTGGATTTGACCATTGTTTCGTTTTTTTATTTATTTTATTTTTTTTATTTTTTTGTTTACTTCTCCCGTATTGATGCATTCCATTTCTTTACTTCATTACGTTTTGGAAAACATTTAATAATGTTCTGTATTAATTTTATAAGTTTATTGCACTCGTTGCTTAACGATTTACTGTTATATAATGAAGTCGATGCTATAAATGCCGATTTTGTTGCTTATTAAGGATGATAAAGATTTGTCTGAAATTTTTATTATAATTTTAAGTGGATGTAAATGTGTTATGGCTTAAAATTTTATTGCTAAGTGTTTGCTTAACTTCTCTTCGTCTTCAATTTTATGATTTAATTTTAAAAAACAATTAAAAAAGATTAATTTAATCTTTAGAAAACATTTAGCGTATCAATTTAACAATAAGTNTATTTTATTTTTTTTATTTTTTTGTATGATTTATCAAAAGATTAAAAGAAAAAGCAAGGTAAATTGTGCATTGTACTGTACGTGAGATAACTTCTGAAGACTTTTAGTGTTGACAGGAATCATATAAACCATTGTAGACATATCTGTCTCCTGTAAATGGGTCATGTGGGGCTTTTGTAAAAGGATTTACAAGTAAAGATAATTTTTCATTTTCTGTTTCCATTTTCCATTGTAACTTTTTGGCAAGTGGGAACTAGGCTTTATATTTGTAAATTTCAGTAAATATATTTTACAATATAATCTTATAGTTTGTTAAAATTTTTATACAATATATTTTAAATGCTTTCAAATATAAATTTATATCTTTTATTTTATTTTAAAATATTCATTAAATTCATTTATATTTCAGGGTCGAATGATTGATTTGGTCAAAGCCAAAGCGACAAATTTAGAACGTGTTACTTTTCTAGTTTTAGATGAAGCTGACAGAATGTTTGACATGGGTTTTGGTAAGGAAACTTAAATATCATTTATCATATTACATATTCATCAAAAATCATCCTTTATACTTGTTTGTTTTATTTATTTTTGCTTTGAATATTTTTTATAATAATATGCATTGCAGATTTTACTTTATCTAATGACTTTTTATATTAAAATTAATATTTGCATTTGATTTGGTTGTGCATATGAATGTGCAACTGCCAGGGTTATATGAAGATAGCAATATAATAAATTCTTAATTGCTAAAAAAAGCTATTAACAATTATATATATTTTGTCAATTGGTAATGTCAATTTGCTTTGTCTTACAAGGAGAGCCTACGGCTTTGGGGTAACGGATTTTGATGATCTTTGGTGTAGAGGTAGTACACGATGTTAGTGTACTATCTGTAAAATACTAAAGTGCAATACTCAAATATAATCGAGAAAATCGAACTTAAAGTTTTGTTAGCACTTTATATATAAATTATACGTACTTCTATTCGAGCGTTCTGTGGCAGAGTGGTAACGAGTCTGATTCATAAGCTTGAGTTCTCGGGTTCGATTCTCGCGTATAATTTTTTTTTTAATTCATAAATACTTATAATGTATTTATTTATTTACTCAATCATTTATTTCTTATTATTTATTTATTTTAATTTAATTTCTACTATTCCAAGTCTAATATTTTTATACTTTTGTTGACAATAACAG